CGTTGACGATGGGACGTTGTCGAGTTGTTGAATAGCAACTATCGTGGTAACTCACCGATTACCTGTCGATCTGCCAAATTTGGAAAGACGTCTACATTGAATTGTCTCATATAATAATATTCCGCCCACTATATCACAAGAAATTGCGAGTAGCTGAGTGGAATGGAGATAAGTTAAGCATTGGGTACAGGACCAAGTCTCCCCTGGGTTTTTCCAAAAGATGAGCGCAATAGAATCATCAAGTTGCCATAAGGCACGGAATGAGACTATTGCATGGCTGGGTAGTCAAAGTCTTCCATTCGTTAGTCAGTTCAGGTGGATTAGAACAGGTTTAGGTTTAGGGTGGGCGTTGGCCAGATTTGGATTTTTCAGATGTAATCCTGAATAGGACCCTGCCATTGAACGTCGCGTGAAAGTGGAACCTTATGAAGGCCTAAGTACTTTTTCGTAGTTTTTAGTTTTCGGATTTGAAAGATCGTCGGTTACAGCGGCCTGCTTACTGAGCAGAAAAACGCGGTCCCAGGTCCTTACATATCAAAGAGATTTATGGTAAAATCGCTTGTGTATCGTGTATTTTGCGAAACTCGTTGTTGTCGTTGGTTCCGGGTTTGAATGGATACACAAATTTGAGCAACGGTATTATGTGATATGAGGGGCTCGTTGGCCTTAGAGCAACCGTTTTTGCTTACTGAGCAGATGAGTCTAATCTCAGGCCCATCCACATTCAAGATTCGTCAATCGTTTTATTTGTTAATATGACTACATGGTAATAACAGCAACTCGGTGATTAAAAAGGTGCTCGTCTGCCTTAGAGCAAACGTTTTTGCTTACTGAGCAGAAGACCGTGGGTTTAGTCCCAAGCTCCTTCGCGTTATATGATCGTTAGGACATCAATTCAGCTTATCGTTTACCAAAACGAACCCTGCTGCAAACCCAACCCTATTATCCAATATCCCAGTGATTCCTCGTGGAAGTGCAGAGGTGTTCTCGGCTTTCATCAAAGCGAGTGTCATTCTCGGCTTCCATCAAAGCGAGTGTCATGTCAACACAATCCTTCCCATTCCTTTCTTGACCTGTGTTCGGGCGCGGCCGGCGCTGGTATTGCCTAATTTAAGATCACCAGTTTTTACACATTGAGGATGATTGCTAGTCCCAAGCATCGTCTATTGGTTCTCTTTGTAATTACAGCTGATCTGGCAGTAACAGAGTAGCAACCGTGGGCGGTCAATCAAGCTCAAGCTCAAGCTCAAGCTAAACGGGGTTAACAGAAGTAAGTCTGTAATTTTTTGTAACACATTTTCTCAACTTTGAATTTTTCGCAGATTTTTAAAATCTTACCGAACAGTTCTGCAATTCAAAAACTCGGTAAAAATTACGGACTGGATAAGTGTGTATATTAAAAGCAGCGATGGAAAAGTTCGCAAAAATTTACTATGACTCGCAAACTTTTCCCTTGGTGAACTTCGTGAAATATCGCGAACTTTTCCAACACTGGTTAAGAGAAAGGATCGTCTACGGGTTGATTTTTATTTAGCTGTGAAATTATGAACACAAATTCAGAGCTTGGTGACATTCATTGTTGGAAAAGTTCGCGATATTTCACGAAGTTCACCAAGGGAAAAGTTCGCGAGTCATACGGAACTTTGATGAACTTTTCCATCACTGGTGACATTGATTAAATATTCCTATTATTACTTAGTAATGAATAGTAAGCCTAGTTGTGAGCAGTAGTTATTCATTATTATATTATAATATGTGTTTATAGCCCTAGGCCTATTCACATCCTTTGTAGGTAGTCAACCATATGTTCTGTAAAAATTGTATTAGTATTAAGTTCTGTTGTACGTGCCATGAGTATGATATTCTTGATATTTTCGAAAGCTTACCCTGCTGCTCATTTTAAACTAACCTTAATTTGCATTACGGTATAATAAAGCACATCACGTTGTAGCTTCTTAGGTTAAAATAACGAAGTTTTGTTGACTGGAATTTTTCTGAAAAACGACTGGAAAGTTAGGGAAAGTCAGGGATTTTTTTTTCGACTTTGAGTCGACACCCTGATGCTTGACATTTTCCACTTTTTCAATAATTTCTTGTTAAAAAATCAACAGTCGGAAGCATTTATATCGATGCGTACAAATATTTCTGATCGATTGGTGATAAAATTAATGAAATTGGTCCAGAGCAGGGGTTGAAACTGTTGACGTTTTTTACTACACTCACTACGTTGTCGTGCGCGACAGTCTGTTTTTATTCCTACACTCATGCTCGACCGTCGTCTCTCTCACACAACACAACCGGTAGAATAACATTCGAGAGAAAAGAAAATTATCAAATAACTATCATATGACATGAGTAATTTCGTTCTAATTCCTCAATTTGGTGTAAATTAAACCATTTCTGATCAGAAATTTTATTCCTAGGACATCATTGCTTGCTATATTAAGAATTCACACAAGCACAACATCAGCAGCTCTTATTATGAGAAAAACTAAAATACATACATTCGTGACGGTCTTCGTCGGCAGTGTCATATGACAGAGCCTGTCGTATGACATTTGAGTTTGGTACTGTACTATGATAGCTTGTTTTCCAAGTGTCGGAAGCAAAAGCAGTCGATTATCACAGAAAATGTGTCGACTACCGTGACCGCTTACAAGACAGGTCCAGAGGAAGCTGAGTTATTAACGTTCAAAATCTTTCATAATTTCGTTACATGTTCCATTTTCGGTTTTCACAAAGTGTACCCCCATATAGAAATTACAGACGTAGTCCTACGTCAAAATTTGTTCTATGGCAGTCATCACACTGCCTTCAGAGTTTTGAACGTTCCACAGAGCAGTAACTACACCTCACTGAAGGATGTAAGATTTGCATACAATTATGTGGGATTCATCATGGCAGGATGTTATTGGAGCCCGCAAAAACGGAGGATACAATATACCGAGCTGCGGTCTAATGCAAGAAAATGGAGGAATAAAAATGTGAACTGTATTAGTGAATGTAATGAATCATGTCGAAAAAAATAGAAAAAAGGTGGTTGACTGGACTCCAACCACGAACGTTGCGATTATCAGACCTGTGCTTTCTCCACTGCTCTCGATGCTTCGGAATATGGATAGGCTAAAAGCGAATAAGATGTGCTTATTTCCTCTCAAACTCGACTTCGCATGCTTTTTCTGCTGAACGGGAATTGGAGAGAGTCGAGGCAAGTGTGTTCGTCGTTCTTCAATGTTATAAATAAAAAGCTTGCTGGTATAGTCGAAAACGTAGACATAACACGAAATCAAAATGATAAAACAATCGTATCATCGTCTGCATGGTCAACTTATACCATTCGCTGCGAAGGATGATAGGAAATGGAACCAACATTCAATGTCATACATTTTTGGTTAGCGTGTAGGACAAAAACCTGGTCCAAATTATTTACTGCTGTTTTGAGTGATATTAGGCATGAATACAATGTAAATAGTACTTAGTATTAATCTTGGTTCAAATTGAAAAAAAAAAAATACAACAGAAATTTTTTTTTATAAAAATTTAGTAAATTTGCTCTATATTGATGTAGAACATACGGTTTTCAAAAGGCTCGCAAACGGACAACTCCGTTTTATCCCACCCATGTTTCAGTATTCAGATTTAAAATAAATAAATATATACGACTTACCTGCGGTTCCTCTTGCCTCTGTGTACCTTATTTATCTCATATGTAGATCCTACACGATGTTTACGTCAATATTTTCATCAATAATTTTGGTGGGTCATCAATGCAGGGCTGCTCCTCGCTAAATTTGTTATATTCGATGGACTATTCCGAAACGAAAGACAACTTCCCTAGCAAAAAATGCCTAGGATCTGGTCAAAGAGTAAGGGAAAATTAGCGAGCCCCACCCGTATCAATATATTGACGCGAAGAGAAATTATTGACAACAATATTGACGATGCGAACACAGAAATATTGTCAATATCAATGTATTGACGTCAATATAGAATGTATTGACAATACGATTGCTGTCAAATGGTGAAAGCAATGGTGTAGGGTCAATATGGCATCAATATTTGTCGTCATTATTTGCATCAATAAATATAACTTTTGAGTAATGACAATATTTTTGCTCGTGGAGGCGAACCAGCCTAAGGCTGAAAGCCTCCTAAATAAAGCTAAATAATAATAATATTTTTGCTCTGGCGGCGCCGGTGGTGTAGTGGTAAGCGTGATTAGGGAAGTAAAGCCGTTGGTCCACGGTTCATGAGTTGATGGGTCGATAGGTAGGGTCCAGGTGTGGGAGCTGCCTTCCGGGTGTCGATGGAAAACAAATCAAGGAAAAAAAAATATTTTTGCTCGTGTGGCTCCCGCGTAAATATAATTTTGCTTTAAAATCCCGCAGACTTTCGCCTGTCCATTGCCAAACCTGGATCTGTGATATCACGCTCAACCGGACGATTAAAACAATGTTATTTGTATTTATCTCTTGAATATCACATGAGTGTATTTTATTACGCTCTCTTTTGCTGGTTTGCATTCATTTCTATTTGCTACAATAATATAATAGGTTGTGTCTTCTCTCTGTTTGTGTCTTATCTACGATAGTCTGCTGGTTAGCTTTTTAATCTTACCCGCTAGGAATATAATTATAATAGTAGTAATAGCAGTTTAATCATAATAATAATATTAAGAATAGCAATCTCAACTTCAAACGTCAGGCAGGCAGCAGTGTTTCGAACAGATGAAATGATAAAATGATCCCATACTCGCTCAAAGTATCTGCGTGCTCCATCTTGGATACAAAGTGTCTACAGAAGAAAAGTTGGAAGCGATCCAAAAAAGTCGACAACACGGCGCATCGCTCTTCAAAGCATAATTAAACATAATTTAGATTAGATAGTAAACAACAGCACACTGGTTACGCACTAACTGGGGCTGGGGTGGCTGGGTTCGGGAGGGAAAGCGCGGCTAATCGCAAAACCGAACACTCCTACGGTTGTTTTGTGTTTGCGTTTTGCCTGCCATACCTACTTTGGATGGCTTTCAGCGATTCTTCACTTGCTCCTCCGCGCGGGTTGATTTGGATATGGGCGAAACTGGTTCTAACAACCTGCCCTCGCTCGCTGACAGACTCAGCGTTGCGTTCGGGTATTAATTATGTATCAACTTTGTATCTCTGTGGCTGCTGTTCAGCGGCCTTCCGCGTGGGAATATCGCAGCCTACTATACAGTACAGTAGAGAGGAGCCTTATCTGTTTTGTTGGTTTTTGCGCCATTCTCGCTCTGCCTGCCTACTGCCTGATCGCTGTTAATCTCAATTAAATTTTAGTAGCTAATTTTTTACACTCAACCTTACTTCCCCTCGATTTTAGACCGAGCCAGGCACGGGGGTTATTTACATAAATTTGTGTGCGTGAGTAGTAAGGTTGAGATTCTTGTTGCTTCCTAGATAGCCTTCTTCTTGGACAGTGCTCTGTTAGTTTTTTGTTTGTTTCTCAACTGTGAAGTTTGAACTAAGATTAAAACGCTCGAAGGGAATAATTTACATGCCTCGTCTCACTCATCCAAAGTCCTAGATTCTATTTCTACATGATTCCTCGCGAGTGAGCTGGCCTTACTAATTTGCCTAGGGTTATTGCTATTCGGTTTCGGTTGATCCTAATCACGGTTAGGTAGGGGATAACGAGCCAACTTAGAGTAGATGACCAGTTTATTGCACCGCCAGCTGAGATGGATTAATCAATTTGCACTCAATTTTTATTCCAATAACTTTGACAAACAAGTTTACATAACAATTTTTCAAAAGTGAAGCTAGATTAGTCCATCCATTAAACCATTACCGCGGTCAACTACTCTCGGTCTACTCATTTTCCGGTTTCCCATTTTATATAAACATTCGGAAAATAAATCACTCTACTTTTCACTTCCTCACAGCACTTGTTGTGCGCAGGCAGCAGGGATGTGCGTGAGAAAGTTTCCTTCCCCTCGGCGAGCGAGGAAGCATTTTTCAATGTTCAATATTTATGTATTTACATATGCAGCTTCTCACTTGGCTCGCTTCAGCATTATTCAGTTCATCACCGGGATTTGTTTGTCTCTCAGACGGAAAAAAAGAGTAACGGAACGGGGGCATTAATTCAATTATTTAAATGTAATTGTACTCTGGTTTGTTGATTTTCGATTCCTACCCCCTCGGACACACTTGCAGCACTGGATCGCACAGGCTTGCCTCGCCTGCTTTGTTAGTGTTCTCGCGCTGTGACTGACAGCGCTTGCGAGGTTACAGAGCGTTGGACGTCACTCACTCGATACAAAATGTTACACGTGTTGTCCTAGCTATGCCTCGGTTGATCTACAAGAAGATCAATAACTCAGCGCTACAACGCAGTAAGTAGCCTACGGAATCTGTCCGTTCATGCGCATTTCGAGCTCTTCTTCCTCCTTGGTCAGCGGCACCGTCGAATGGTTGTACAGCCCTTGGGCCATCAGCTGCAGTGCCAGGGGATTCTTTTCCGACGAAGTCTTCTTGATCTTGGCCCGCTTGTTTTGGAACCAAATTTTGATTTGCGACTCGTTGAGGTTCAATTCGGCACTCAGCGCTTGCCGGCGCTTCTCCGTAAGATAGCGGTTTTCGTTGAACTCGTTCTGTGAATTGAGAGAAAGCAGAGGGCGAAGAGGAGCAATTAGATCACGGTTCCACTCACTTGGATGTAAACAAATAACTGTCAGATGCAGGGTTGCCATAAACCTACCTTCAGTCTTTGCAGCTGGGCAGTGGTGAATGCGGTGCGGGGGCGTTTTTCCTCACTTTCGCCTTTCTGCTTCGGAGGCTTTGTTCGCCGATAGCGGGGACCTGCGGAGAAGAAGCGAACGAAAAGGTTGAAATTAATAAAAATGTCACTGACAGGAGCCGTGCGCGCTCTGGTGGTGTGCAACGAGTGAGGAACAACGGTTTGCGGGAAAAAATATAACTGGTTACCAGTGCCGCTGTGCAAGAATAAATAATTATTAATGCTTGTTATCTAATTCAATTAAGGCCCGTTTGCGATATTGATCGTATATATTGAGTGAGCGGTAACGAGCCCATTCCCGAACGAATTCCTCTGTGTGCTCGGCAGGGGTGGGCAACGCCACGCCATTTTGAAACTTGCTACGCGGTCAAAAGTTCGCACTTGACTGCCACACAATTCTTCAAGTAGGGTCGAGAACTACTTTGGCATAGGCGCGTGTTTCCGTCATATCGAGCAGAATCAATCATACTTTTGACCCGATACGTGAATTCAAAAGCTACAAAACATAATATGAATTTTTATATCAATTGGGTTGTTTTGGTTGTATTGAGGTAAATGTATATAGGTAGGTCCCGAAGAAACGTGCTCAACTTTTTGGCTCCTGGTACTATCTTCGGTCCCAAGCAAATTGATGCACCCCTCGAAACATAGGGAAATCCACGAACCCCTCATTTTATCTGTCAAACTTTCATAGCGAATCAAAACAAACATTGTGTAGTACTAGAATTTCGACTAGAATGGGGTAGGTTAATCTATTTGTTTGGGACCAATAGGCTAGTAGCAGTGAGCCAATTTATGTTAGTTTCCACCGGTTGGTATACGTGCGGATTGTGCCTGGTATGACGGAAATTAGACCTCAACCCAATGCTTCACGTAGAGCTTGCTTCCATCTTGACGAAGAACGTGATTTTTGCACATTCCTACCAAAAATTATGACGGTTATCGCAACCCTGCGGGAGGTTAGCGTACGCTTCTTTGTTTGGGGCTTTCTTACGGAGGTAATTAGCAGGCAGGAAATATTTCTCCGTCAAACTTTCTGCCTCCGAAGAGGAAGCTAGAACCAGGCGCAATCTAAATAGCTTCGGTATGATAATTTTCGAAGGAATTTTGAAGCTTTGTCGACAGCGGGTGCGAGTTTGCACCCACCGAGGGGCGCTCAGATAGCTCATTTAAATTAATCAAAATAAATAAGCATTCTAATTAACGGGCAGAGAGGAAGCAATTCTTTCCCCTTTTAAGTAGACACATTAATATATTTTTCTATTTTAATTAATATATTAGTTCGATAATTAATTCGCTTGCAAGAGTTTGCCTGTGGGCAGCCATGATGGCGTGCGCTCAAAGTTGCTGTACAGGTAGAAGTTTTTATTTTTTACTTTTTATTGACTTCTGTCATAGCTTTGTGGTATTTACAACCTGTCTTGTGGATATGAATATTTATCACGAGTTACACGTTGGTGGCTGTTGCGCACCGAGCAAAGCGCTAATTTGACATTTCAATACAAAACGGAGGAAAAGTAGCGCAGTGGAGGAATGTTGCAAGCTGTCAAAAGTTTAGGGCATCCAAGGCCAACAGAAATGGCGTTGGAAATCAGTTGGAGTGTATCCAGTCAAGAAACGACAATCAACCTTATCCCTGATCAGATTAACCAATTTGACACCCTTCCAAAACGCCGAATCTTGGGCCACATTATGGATCCAAGTAGAAACGACTGTTTTCGTACAAGCGTTCATACGAAAAACGCTTCGTTTCGACTTCCCCAATGAGGCCCCTGGTTCTCACATTCTCAGATTCCACGCTCATTAAGGAACCGTATAAATCAAATGCCGATTATTACCCTACTTAACCAACGACCATCGAAAAATATGAGGGCCATGAATAAATTATCACCCTCCCGGATAAGAACCCGTGCTGATGCTGGTTATCGCCTCTTCTCTCTCAGATGAACCCATCAGCCACGGATAAATCAAACCCGCAATCAAATTTTGCCCTTTTCTAGCACCCCTTTGGCGATCCTTCTCGAAGCAATCGGAACCCGGTGAACAAATTACCGCGGGACTCCCTTGTTTGGCATGTCAAGCGAGCGCGCGCCCGCACGCAACTTGGCGCACATTCCGCCATTTGACAGAGAGAGTTACAAAAACTTTTGCGCGATCCGCAGGTAACAAATTGCTGAATGCCAGCACGTCCCATCGTCCATCGGTCCATAAAGATCCTCGGCAACAATTATGTGCCGCCACCGCCACAGCCGCGCCGTATCAAGCGAGATTGAGGTTATCTGCGGACAAATATGGCGCTGGTGGTTCGCCTTTTGCCATGCGTGGCTATCTGCGATCGCGCGTGTTTTTGCTCGAATTTTGACAGATGAGCTAGATTTGCGATCCACATGGTGCGATAATCCATTTCTGTCACAACCGCCACGACCGATGGAGACCGAAGCGATTATCGCACACGGCTTTTCTTGATTGATTGAGGTCTTCATCGATTGGCGACGCCAGCGCCACACCGCCCGCTGTGGCAACTGTCAAAGTTCTCACAACAGAACGTAAACAAACACCCTTGGATGGAAGTAGTTAGTCAAAAGAACGCCTTCTGGATAATTACCACTGACTGCGTCTTCCAGTGCAGCGTAATGACATAATTGTCCCTCGCGTTCGTAGTGCATGCGTTTGACATTTGCATAACTGCCACCGTTCGTCGTCGTCGTCGTCGTCATCAGGAACGATGTCGCGTGATTAGCCCATTGCATGCTCCTGTATATATTGCTTATGACTTTATTAGATTTTCATGAGTCGGCGGAGGCAATTAAGTTCCTCGGGAATAGTGGCCTAATCAATACACTTGCAAGTGGGCAGCTTTCTTACACGATTGTAAACAATAGCACAACAGGGCTAGCCAACTCAAGCGAAGTAAGGTTTGATTGTTTTGACAGACCCTGGCCCCGGCTGAGTGGAGGGGCGTTCCCATTTTTTATATTTTTCTCTTCCATGAGTTGCACACATTCGTCGGTGAAACGTCGGTCACGCCATCTTTGTGCCAAACAACCTTTCGGTTGATGATCGACTTGTTGGGAAGATTGTAGGTTAGTTGGGTTCAAAAATGAATGTTGATTTTGATCCACTATACTGAATTCAGTCGGCTCATCGAGATTCAAATAATTGAGTGGAATCTGTAGAAACGAACACTCGTTGCACTTGATCCACTTAACTGAAATTTGACAGAGCGTGATTGTCAACACTTATCCAAATTAGTGGTGAAAATCCTCTTTGATCAGTCTCACAATCCCACCAAACCCTCCGTGTTTATTTATTTTCGTTTCTCCACTTTAAACTTTTCCAAATCGAAAACAAAACAGAATAAGCACATCCGACACCACGAGAAGGGACCGCAGTCAGACAGAAGCGATGACATAGTTCAACGAGGGACCATAAAAACAGCAAGAACAGATGTCAACCGCTGGTGCTGCTGCTGCTGTTGGAAGACCCCCCTGCGCTCTTCTCCATGTCCCCTCGTCTGTTTTTTTTTTTCCCTTTCAGGAAATTAATATGTTCGATGATATGTTGGAACCACGTTGGAGCCGGATTTTATGGCTGCTGATGATCGATTTATGCCTCCGCTGTCACTACCGCCACTGGAGTTCTTCCCAATACCCACCAATTATCGCTCCCGAATGAACGGAAAAAAAAATCAACAAACTAGAAGTGGGACTCTTGATGTTCAACAAAAGAAACAAATCAGGGAAGCGTGTCGCGTACAAATTTACTCCCGAATAGCAGACCGATCGTAAAACTACCCGCTCTTCTGATATCAAGATTCTAACGCGCACTTAATGCACTGTGACTTGTGAGTTAATAAATTTTAATTATTTCGTAATAAAAGTGTACATTTGGAGAAAGAAACGGTCGATTAAAACGTTCGCCGACTTTATGCCGTACGCGGGGCTTAGGGTTTCGCGATCCGACCAGCCCTGCGCATATCTAGATCTAGAGCTCCGGATTCAGGCTAGAGCTGCCCTGAAACAATTTACGTTCGACTAAATTATCGATACTATATTAATTAACTTCAATTTCAATGGGATGATGGCGGTCGTCGTTCCTACCGACCCGCCTCTGTCCGCTCTCATGCACCAGGAGCCGAGAAATAGAGCAATTCTGTGCCGGCAACAGGGCGGAGACCGAGCCCCATTCGCTTGCTTATCTGCTGACTGGCAGTCAATTTCACTGCGCAATTTTCCAACTTCTTTGGAGCAGCAGGAGGAGGAAGCGATTGCTGGACTCGCAAATGAATTTATTTATTTCTTCAATTAATCGGCTATTTATTTCACTCTGGCTGCCTGCTAGCCGTGCAGGAGCGCGGTGGAAAAAGTGGAAATTTTTGTTCGAAGAAGCTAAATGAGTGCGGGAACCTGTTTTTGGAAGGGGTGACACGATATGGAACCGAGGGGTGATTTGATGAAGGGAGGCAGGGGGATCCTATAGAAAAGATTACGATCATCATTATCCTTCGATTTCCTACGCCCGTGCCGGGGACCGATGGTGAGAGCAAGCGAGATTGAGTACCGATCGGACGAACGTGGCGTAGCTTTAAATTGATCAATTTATCGGGAATAGTTGGCTAGCTAAGGAGCTTTTGTTTTTAGAAAAAGAAAAGAAAATGCTTGCAGTGATGGAACCTGATTCGAACGTGGTTTAAAATTGCAAATTGGTGTTTTTTGTTGGGTGAAGAATTAACAAGGAAATTACTTTAAGATTGATTGTACAAAGGTAGGATAAATGTAATTGAAATGCTTTAAATACTATTAAACTAATAACTCTAATCCCAACCTCTTTTTGATAAATAAAAGCATGCTTATTTTTGTAAAAAATCAACAACCATAGTTGAAAAATATTCATTTACATAGAAATTTAAATGGTCATATACACCAAAATAGTGCACGGTTATGAGGAACTTTTTACGACTAGCTGTCAAATTTAAAGATTATATCCTCCGTTTTATTCCAATTTAAAAATAATTGAGTTCTTGGTATTGGTATTGAGGTAATTGCATATTCGTAATCTGAAT